GTAAAAATTGATTAGAATTTTAGGTGGGGCGAGATGTCACGGGTGAATGTTTGTATGTATGTATAATCTAGATTTACAAAAGAGCGAATCACCGGGAGTGAGTTTGTTGTCAAAAGTAGAGAATGCAGTGTGTGATATGCCGGAAAAGTTCATTAAAGTTTATGTGTTTTGATCTAGTTGTTTAGTTGTTTTATTCGTTAATTACAGCGGAACCTCGGGACACCTAGAAGTATCGAGTAGGTAGTTGTCAGAGAGTTATAATTAATATATAATAGGAAAGCTGTAACATATTTTAAAAGGAGAAATCAAAGAGCATATAAAACCTGTATGGAAGCCAAAGTTGCCACCTTTTAATGAGAACGTGGATCAAATGGATGCATATTTGGCGAGATTTGAAGTGCATGCTCAAGCTACAGATATACCTAAAACTCAGTGAGGAAGTCATCTATACACATTGTTACAAGGAAAGACACTGCAAGCTTGTATTAACTTTCCTAAGAAAGATCTAGAAGAATATGACAAGGTGAAGGATGTATTAATGAAAAGATACAACTTGACAGTTGATGGGTATAGAGAGAAGTTACATAAAGCTAAACCAGCCATTTCATGAATTTGTTGAGGACATTACTAGATACCTAATGCGTTGGGTTGAATTGTCTAACACTGAAAAGACATTCGAAGGTCTCATTGATCTGTTCATTAGAGACAAGATCCTCACACCTTGCAAACCTCAGTTAGTGGCTTTTCTACATGAAAGGAAACCGAAAGATGTGCCGACAGCAGTAAAGTTATGTCAGCAATATATTACTGCACATCCAGAGCAGACTTTTCAAAGGGATGAAGGCTTGATAACTAGCAAGTGTGCATTTGCTGCAAAGACTAATGATAACAAAAGTTGATTTAAACAAGATTGGAAACAGGACCTTCTGCGGAAAAAAAGGTGCAGATGAAAAAAGAAAATGTTTTTAAGTGTTTCAAAATGGGACATTTAGCAGCCCAATGTAGAAACAAAAGCCCACTAAATGAGGGTACGGGCTCAAGCAGAAGTCAGGAGTTTAAAACAAGCAACAGGGGAAGATCAATCAGATCCAGATGGCTGCTGGAGCTGTAACTTGTGACGCTGGGGAAACTAAAAATGTATCCTGGATTTGTTGGGAAGAAATCTATTTGGGTCTTGAGAGACACAGGAGCGACCACAATCGGAGTGAAGAGACTACATGTGCACCCTCACCAGCTGACGGGTAAGAAAGTTCAATGTATGACATTTGGAGGAACAATTGAAGAATACTCTAGAGCTGTCATTGACATAGATACGTCATTTTTATCTGGGAAAGTTGAAGCATGTGTGTTGGCGAGGCCTGCAGCTGACTTGATTCTAGGAAACGTGAATGGCATAACTGAGCCCACCATCACAGATAGCTACAAGTGGCAAAGGTTAGCTATGTCAGAAGTTACGAATGCGTGACGAGATCTCAATCTGTTGTTATAGATAACATGGGACAACCGACCTACATAGTCAGATTGAACAGCCAGAATCAGATGCGACATCCAGTTATGCATTGAAACAAAAGGAGGATCAAACCTTGGTTAAGCTTTGAATTGGCGGAGCGTCCCACCAGTAAATTTAAAGTTAAAAATGGGCTTCTCATGAGACAAAATAACAAAGAGAAACTACAGCTAGTCGTCTCTGCCGCCGACAGAAACAGAATTTTGGAGTTAGGTCATGACTCACCTTTTGCGGGTCATATGGGGACAGCACGAACAAGAAAAAGAATTCTGAATAACTTTTACTGGCCAGGAATATTTAAAGATGTGAAAAAATATTGTCCAGCGTGCAGCACTTGTGCCAGTACAAAGCCCAGAGATCGTTATACAAAAGCCCCATTACAGGTCACAGATCTGCAAGACAGACCGTTTCAGAAAGTGGCCGTAGACATTGTGGGTCCCATAAGCCCTATGTCTAAAAAAGGATACAGATACATCCTTATGATGTACACGTTGGCCAGAGGCCGCCATTAAAGACAATAACTGCAGAAAATGTAACTCTTGAATTGTTCAACATTTTCTCTTGTTAAGGATTCCCTGAAGAAATTCTAAGTGATCAAGGGACTCAGTTTACTTCCGAGTTAACACATCAGTTTCTGAAGCATGACTCTAGATAGTAGGCCTCATGGGATAAACTCTAGTTTGACCGTTATAATTTTTCAAAATGAAAAATTATGAAGGAATTCTACGAAATGAACTGTGAAGTATGCAATAAGTAAGCCAAAACTGAAGTGCAGAACGTCAAACATTTTAAGAACCGCATCCCAACAGCTATTTACCTCATAGGGTTAGGCGCTTAACTTGATTGGACATGGCTGGGTGATTGTGAGCTTTTCTTTGTTTCAATGTATATGTGTATTACTTTAATGAAATATCGATTCTCTAAAGCAAAAGAATGACAAAAGCATTCGACCATTGTATATCATGTGACAAAGAAATGCTACCTATAAAAAGATTTACCATAATATAGAACTGCCCAGATTTGATCTTGCGGTGTTCACCGATATTTCCTTACTTATTAACATCCTTTCCTGGCAGGTTAGTCTAGTTTACAAAAAAGCAGAAGTAGATGTAGCTATTGTTTTTTTTTTAGAATTTGTATAAACTTATCTTATCTTATCTGGCCATAAGCTAAAGTAGACAATTATATATTATGAAAAATTGAAATAGTACACGATTCTAGGTGTGTCTCTCTCTTTATATAAAGCAAGGACTTGATTGACTCATTACTATTTTTACAGCTTAGGTGTGATACTATGGAGTTTTAACTATTTTTTAAAAATATGTACTTTAAGAAACTAACATACTTTCGTTTTTTTTTGCAAACTAAATTCATAAACTTTCTAATAAACTTTTTTGTTTTAGTTTCTGCTATTAATTCACAATCTCTAGTCTAAAAAAGCTGGTAAAAGGGTGGAATAGAGTACGACGAGATAACCCCCCAAAAAAATTTGAAAATTCACATTTTGGTAACTACGTTGATAGTGAGTCACTCGGGGGCTCTCTACTGGTTAATTAGTTAATATTTGCTTTCACAATGTGGAGGCGAGGTGGCTGAGTGGTAAATTGGGTTCAAATCCTGGTGAATACTGGAATTTTTTAAATTTAATATCTTCAGGGTGACTCTGAGTCAACCCAGCTCTAATGGGTCTCTGACATTAGTTGTGGAAAAATAAAGATGGTTTGTCGTTGGCCACAGAAACAGACGATCTTTACATCATATGCCCTAGTTCGGAAGCCAAGCGCTTTACCGCTCAGCCACCGCAACTCTTTTTCTCCAAAGTAGTAGAAAGCAAATGCTCACCATTATCACTGTTGTTTTCTGCAGATAAATATGGCTGACATTGGCGTTAAAGCCTCCCATTCTTAGGCGTAGTGAGCAAAAGATGCGCCAAGGGCAAAGTACATTATTGGCACCCCCCTTCCTATTTTCCATGAACATCACATAGAAATATAGACTGCATGTGGCGCCCACCTTCTGAAGTAGGCGCCCGGGGCATCATGACCCCCTTGCCCTCTGCGCACTACGCCTCTGCTCCAATCAGTTGAATGTAATAAAAGAAACAGAAGAACCTATTGTATATCATCCATCATTGTTTAACCTAGAGAGGAATCGAGGTACTTTGAATCATAAAATCATTACGAATGACGTCACACAGAAAAAAAATCTCTTTTACGTCACAAGGCTTAGGTAGACTAAAAAATGTCTTTGTAATAATGAGAAAATATAGAGGCCTAATAAACATGTGCGCAATAGTTCTTATAACATATGCCCCACTGTGTCCAATTGCAGCAAGCGAAATTACAACTAACATATTTCTCATAGAAACCATGAACAGAGCGAGGATTGAGGTAGTATGTAAGATGCCTCTATTTAAAGTCGCACGTTCGTAATGAACAAAACCTTCTGGATAAAGCCTAAAATCATCTGTGGACACGATTTTCGAAAAACGGCTCTAACTATTTTCCTAGGAATTTGAAAGTTGATGTATATCGTTGAGAAAAGAATTACTAGCTCATTGGCCACATTGGGGAAATTCTAGCTTGACCGTTATAATTTTTCTAAATATAAAAATCTAAAAAGAAAATAATTTAAATTTGCATAGAGGACTAGAAAATCATTATCTTGATCAGATTACATCTTAGGGTATTTCAGTATGTAAGCCCTCTTCATTAAGGTGTTTAATAAATTAATGTTCCGTAATATCTTCTGAATCTAGATTTATAGGTTTATCATTAGAATATTTTAAAGTCTATTAGATTAATATGCCGGAAGATAATGGATGCGTCCAGATGAGTCACTGGCTTTGGTTTCGACTAGAGACAGGGCAGAATCTGGTGTGACTAATCAAGCCAATTCTAGAGCGGCAGAGTTCTTGTATGTATATGCATCTGTTTTAGGGCTAGCTGTCAGGGCAGCTTTCTGTTTCTTTCTCTTGACGTAGGCCACTTCATTTCTTTTGCTCTCTACGAGGATCGTACCAGCACGTACGTTCTGTCCGGTCTTGGGCTATCTCCTCCCAAATTTGGGTCTGACTCCTCCCACAAGCTCAGCATATAGAATGTTCCATTTTTTCGTAAATCTAACATTCGTTAGTTATTAAGAGCCAAATACTCGCTCTATAAACAGTGTCAAGAAGGAATTGTAATTTTTGAAAAGTATTTTTTTATATAGTTTTCTTTTTTATTTCAGGTAATAATTGCTAATGCAAAGATGATTGCCAAGATTATGTATTTGTCATCACTGTTGACTATCCTGGGTCTGCTTCGTCCCGTGTCAGGAGACATTTTCGCCGCTGTGAGTAACAATTGTAAGAATCAGGCCTCAAGTTGTATAGCCAATAGCACAGCTGTAAAAGCATTAGTCGACAACCAAAATTATTGTGAGGCCTTGAAATATAGTTCCTCTTCATTTGACTCCAAGACATGTCTAGTCACAAACGGCAATTGTCTAATTTCTGAATACAACAATGTCAAGGATTCTGTCTGTAGTGCAACGTCAGTGATGGCAGGAATGACAACTCTATTTTTTTGTATTCTAGTTTACATGCTAAACTAAATCCTAATATAGCAAATCGAGAGATGCCTCCCAATCAGCTACTATATTTAAATAATGCTTTTAAACCATGGTTTAATATCCTAATAATAAAATCAGCCTTTATATTTAAATAATGTTTCTAAGCCATATTTCTATATCCTGTTAATAAAACTTTTAATAAATAAAATGCGTCTCTAAAATTGCAATTGAAAAAAACTTCGTTTTATAATTATAAAGTAATTATAGAGCAATTAAAGAAATGAATTTATTTGGATCAGGTATATCTATTCAATTGTTAAAAAAATACGAATTCCTATTTAACTTTGAGTTCCCCCTTTCCACCTCTTCATCACAATGTAAATTGTTTTGGCGAAGAGAAACATAAACACGTTCTTTTAGCCAGGTGTAAAAAAAAAACAAAAAAAAAAAAACGCTGTCCATTTGTAGAGTCCTATTAGTTGATTGTTCATTTTTTTTTCTGCGGCCTGTCTGTTAATTTGTCAAGTTTAGAACTAAAAATTAAAAAGTGCTTTTAAAGATCCAATTTCATCACTTTTGACTTGTTTCTTTTGTTTTGTTTGACATGTTTTGGATGCTCCTTAGGAGTTGAAGACAATCTACGTCCTAGTCTAAACCTCCCGTAGGATGATGAGGCATGGTAGTAGGAAAGGTATGAACCCGTGACCATCTAGAAGACCAATCGTCTGTTTAGCGCGCATACCACACCACCAGGCATCCATCATGTCCGTGCTTAATAGGTACAAGGGTTACTTATGGGTTTTAAAAAATGATTTTTTTCTGTTGTCAAATCTAAATATGCTTATTTTATGTAAACCATTTTTAGAACAATGTGGAATAAAAAATTAGTTCTTTTATAAACAACTCACTACAGCATCCATATTACCTTTCAACAAATGTTTTATTGCTAAAGAATTATATTAAAGAATGTATGCTTTTCCAAAAGCAAAATTTTGTTGCCTTATAAAATATTTAGTATGTATACTTTATGTAAATACATTCATACCCATTAAAAAAAGTTAACAAAGACAATTTGTGTGGAAACACTAAACTCAAAATCGACCCCCGAGGTGGTCCACCCAGGCAGGTAAAAAGTCAGGTATCAATATTTTCAGAAAGAACATCAGAATGAAATTCTATCAAAGACAGAGACAGAGAAAAATGGAGAACGAAGGTTGACAGATCTTGTGCATTGCCCCAGCAGTCCAGCAGGCCAAGGGATAGGTGAAAGTGAATGTGAAGTTAAATGTGAACCTGGCCTAACTGATGTCTTTTAATGAATATCTAACTGATCTAATTGTTTTGTAAAGGTTCAATCTCTTATTCAAATCCTCAAGGAAAAAACATTTCGTTAAAAAAAGGAAAAAAAATCCTTTGGTTGAGTGTTTGTGTAATCTGTCAAAACTAAATGTGGGTCAACAACAATGTCTGAGACGGATTTTGAGAGTCAGTTCCACAGATCGGGTCTCAAACAAGGAAATCTTATACTGAACTGGGAGTCGAACACTTAGTGAGGTTGTGCTAGAACGACGCATGAGGTTTTGCAGGACATGTTCTACGACAAAATGAACTACGCATACCAAGAGTAGCGATGCCATGGAGGCCAACACGGGGAAAGCGCAACAATTCTGTCCAACTTATATGCATACTAAATAGATTTTTTTGCTCTTAAAAAAAAAGAAACCATTTTTGTGTGTAACTGTAGTAGTTACTACAACAGAAATCACATAACTTAATAATATAAATGTAATTTTTTTTTCACAAAAAATATATAACCGTTTGCATAAATGTGTTAAAAATATGGTATATAGTCATCCCCCTAATAAAGAGTGTTTTTTACTATTAATAGTAAATAGTTGAAGTGATTTTAAAAATTAGATTTTTCGCTTTTAGAAAAGAAAAAAGTAGCAATTGCATCAGAACTTTGAATGATCTAAAATATCACTATGTCCGATTTTCATTTTCTCTTCCAGTTTCTGAGATATAAACGGGACGGACGGACAGACGAAGGACAGACGGACTGATAGACAACTTTTTTCTTTTCTGACATCGAATTCACTAATGCAAGTTATGTAAGGTCTGTCATACTAAATACATATTTACAAAAAAAAAAAATACATTTTTTTTAAAAGAAAAAAATCTATTTACTATGCAAAAAAGTTGAACATAACTTAAAACAACAATGAATAAGTAGTTTTTCATATTCTAGCATTAACTCTAAGCACACTACTATATCTAGTACAAAAATCAAGGCATATTTTTATTTTTTTTTACGAAATTTTTTTTTTCGAAGCTTTGAATAAGAGTTTGGCCCTTTACAAAACAATCATATCAATTAGATACTCATTATAAGACATCAGTTAGACCTGGTTCACATTCACTTTTACTTGGTCTACTGGACCTTTGGGGCACCACACAAGATCTGACAACCTTCTTTCTCCATTCTTCTCTGTCATTTGCCTTTGATAGAATTTTATTATGTTATTCTTTCTGAAAATATTGAAACCTGCCTTTTTTCCTGCCTGGGTAGACCACTTCGTGGGCCAATTTTGAGTTTTTGTAACCTTGTTTTTATTGATTCTTGTGTTGTCAGGTAAAAAAAAAATAAGCTTGAGCCGAGATTGGGTTTTGGAGAAATAACATGTACAATCAGACAATCAAACAGACAGTGTTAATATAAGCTTTGTAAAAATTTAACTAGTTCTTAGAGTGAATATTATGGCTTAATTATTAAAATTCAATCTCAAATTAGTTTTAATAAAATATTTCTTTACGCCCCAAAAAAGAAGTATGTGTGTAGAGTACAATGGCTATTGGGCAATATTTTATACTACTATGCGCAATTTAGAAATTTCTTCAGTGGTGTTGGACAAGTTTTTAATGATTGGTGCTATTTGCTTTTTTTGGCGTTCGCTTATCACAGTGGAAGAACTTTCCCATTTGGGCAAGTATCAAACGACCTCCTCTTATCATTTGTAATTACCATCATTAATAAGACTAATCGCGGTGGCTGAGTGGTAAAGCGCTTGGCTTCTGAACCGGGGGGCCCGGGTTCGAATCCTGGTGAAGACATGGATTTTTAGTATTGGGATCTTTGGGCGTCTCTGAGTCCACCCATCTCTAATGGGTAACTGACACTAGGTGGCGAAAAGTAAAGTCGGTTGGTCGTTGTGCTGGCCACATGACACCCTTGTTAACCGTAGGCATATTATCTTTACATCATCTACCCTATAGACCACAAGGTCTGAAGGGGTAACTTTTCAACTTTTATTATTAATAAGGTAGTAGTTGAATTTTTTTAAACGTTTAGTAACAAATCAAAGTAAAAATAGTTTTTTATATGTAAAAAGAACATCGGGATATAAATTTGTCATGCTATGTTATTCTCGTACGGATTTGTTCTCTAACCCATAGTTAGGTCATCAAGACCTGATAGTTTCACTTTTTTAAGTGCAGATATCGTACACATCTTACTTGATAAAGAAACCACTGAAAAGGCATAAAAACTAACAGCACCTATAGCCACGTAGCTCCATCGGTACAACATTGATGTAGCAGCACTGTAGGGGACTCGGCTAGCCAACAAAAGGTGAACTATGTGACTGGAGTTCTCATACATTCTTCTAGAACGATAGAAACAGTGAAATACGCCGTGAAGCTGGATCGGTTCTATCTTGAAAGCAACGCTGGTAAGAAAACTTGTTGGTTCTCCAGAAGGAATCAGCAATAGACTCATGACCTTAAATCTCCAGATAATGTTCCCATAATGACCAACCCAGATTTAATGATCTGTAGGGTTTGTCATTAATGAGTTACCAAATCGGACAGAGTACGTAAAAGACCTTTTTTTGAAGTAATGTCTGTATCATATCAGATAAGAAGATAAGAAGAATCATCTCAAATTTAAATATCAGAATCCGACCAAAGAGTACACAAGGACTCCAGGGTTAAGAAATACAGATCCTACAAATTTATTTTTAGGCTTAAGAAATCCTATTGTTCATTTTTTTTCCTGATTATATTTTATTCATACATAGGCCTAATTTTCATTATATTTGTATTAAGTCTGAGCGGGCAAACTTTAGAACAGTCCAGAGCAAGCTAAGACAAGAACATGCTTTATAACAATGCTATAATGTTTACAGCCTCGATAACAAGTTTGTCTTTAAACTAGATTAGTTCCAATTAAAGTATTAAATCTGATTTATTTGGCCTTCCTCGGCATTCGTGCGTAGCTTGAAAAACATCTATATGAAGAGAAGATATCTTTGAATAATGTTTGAATAATGTTTGAATAATGTTTGAATAATGTTTGAATAATGTTTGAATAATGTTTGAATAATGTTTGAATAATGTTTGAATAATGTTTCTCAAAGGAAATTAAATAGGGAATTGAAGCTAGCAGTGCAATAAAAAAAAATCTGGGTCTACTTCACTTACAATTATTTTGCAGTTACTATTGTAGAACTTGTATGTTAAGGATCACAACGTCATTAGAGCCAAAGATGACCTATTAATTACTGTAAAGAAAAAAGCAAACTAAAACTTTATAGAACTACCATAAGATCCTAAGGGCTTACAAAAATATTTCTACAAAGAACAGTTCCAGAAAAAATGAGAAGAAGCCGACAGAGAAAGTGATGGGAAGACAACATAAAAGAATGGAGGAGCATGTCATCGAAAGAGATTCTGCTCAGTGCAAAATACAGAGAAAAATGGAGAAAGACGGCCAACAGATCATGCGTGGTGCTTAACGTTTTTTTTTTATTTCTAAACATTTTATTTTTCGCATTTTTAATGCTGGCAAAAATGTTGTCGTGATTAGTTTAAAGACAGTGCTGCTTTTGGCAGACTTCAAGAACAAGTGTGGCACCGGAGAGGAATCAGCTTATCCACAAAACTGAAAGTCTACATTGCTGTAAATCTCCCGTCACTCCTATATGCAACAGAGTCCTGGACCCTATACTCCCACAACACCAAAAAGCTAAACCCCTTCCATCTACGCTATCTAAGAAGTTTCCATAAGGTGCGTTGGTCCGATCACATACCAGACACAGAAATTGTAAAGGTGTCCAACATGTACATTATCAATGCGACTTTAAAAAGGTCCCAACTTCGATGAGCGGGACATGTAGTCCGCATGCCAGAAAAACGCCTTCCTAACGACTTCTGTACGAGGAGCTGTGTGCAGGAAAGCGCTCCCAGGGAGGCCAATACAAGCACTACAAAGACACTCTCAAGAGCTCCTAAAAGGAATGCGATATCGACATTCACGGCTGGGAAGCACTAGGTCTCGATCTCGTGAAGCTGTGAGTCTCGGAGTCTCAAGATTTGAAGCAAGAAGAGTGGCCAGGGCGAAAGAGCGCCGAACCAACAAAAAGCTGAGAGAAGAAGCAGGCCTATCTGCAACTGACCTAGCCCACCCATGCGGCCGGCTTTTTAAAGCGAGGATAGGACTTAATATTCATCTTCGAGTCCATAGGAAATGAGAAATGTGCTCATCTTCGATTACGAAGGAGGAGCTATATATATATCCATAAAATTAGTAAATACAGCTCAAGATTTACGAGAGTGATTCTACCAGGGGCCTTTCTCTCCACAAACTCAAAAATATACACTTTTTAACTAAAATATGCATATTTAATATTTAAAAAAAAGGAAAGTTATGTAACATTGTTATGTACAATAACAAAAACTTTTTTATTCTAAAATATTTCATACTTTTAGATATAAGTATTTTCATTCATTAGTGGATTTTTATTAAAGCTTTCCAAAAATTATAGAGGGCTTCAACGAAAATCCTACTTTTGGGTTTTTACATACCTAAATCCGGCTCGGGATTTATCCTACTATGTAACTATGGAATAGGTGAAAGTTAAGGTCATATTAAGGAGGACAAAGTACAGGAAGACACCAATGTGGGAAAAGGTTA